GTGATATCCCTCACTGCTGATTGCAGAGCTCTTCTCACCCAGCAGCTCCAGTGCTCCTGGTTGTTCTTCTGAAATTGGGACATCTGATTTCTAAATTATTTGTAGTTGTGATATAAAAAAGCAGTTCAACTGAAGAACTCAAATTCTACAACATTGTTTGCTGTTTGGTTAGTGAGGTGAAGGTGGAAGGTTGGGGAAAAGCTGCTCCTGCCATTTGGGCAGAGCTGCTCCTGCTCCTGAAGCTGCAAAGTGCAGGGAAGATTCTGTCAGGGAGCAGTTCTGTTCCGCATGGTGGGTTGGTTGTTAAACCCCAGGACTCGGTGTCAGAAAGCTTTCCCAGTTTTTGGAAGGGGAGGGTGGCAGCTCCTCTAGCTGGGTGAGGTGGGAGCTGCTCTTCCCCTTTGAGCCTGAGGTGTTTAACATTTATTGTCCTAACAGACAGAAACGTGCTTGCTATGAATGGAGTAATCAATGCTTGTGTAATTCCTGCAGATTATGAACCTGCTCACCCATTTCCCTCCAAACTGCTTCTCACTCCTTTGTGAAAGGCTCCTTCCATCTGCCCTCGGGCACTAAGAAATAAATAGTCATTAGTATGCTTGCAATGTAGTTATGGTGCAAATGCTGTCTAGACTTAAAAATCCAGCAGTTAATTTGCTTGGTGCAGACCTGCTTTTGCTTACTGAAGTAATTGATGTTGGCTTTCCCTTCAGAGTGTTTTCCAGCTGTGGACATGGCCGTCCCAGCTCTGCATCACCATCAGAGACCATTGAAATGTCTCATGCAAGAGGCACTGCACCTAATCAAAATATATCATTTCACCTCTTGTTGTGGGGAGGACTCTCAGTCTGATGCAATCTTATTTTAGAAGGGATTAGTGTGACCTTTGCTCCTGTTGCTGTATTAATGTAAATACAAAATGCTTAGCTTGGCTGCAGGGAGCAGCTCGTGCTCCCCATCAACGTGGGATTAACTGCTGGGAGCATTTTCTGGGACTCAACTGCTCCAGCAGACACTCACTAAGCCTTCCTTAGCGTGCAGACTGTGCACTGCTTCCTCCAAAATCAGTGGATAGGATTGGTTTGAGGGGTTTTTTCAGAGGAGCAATTAATATAAGGAAAATAATAAGGTGAAGGAAATTATTGCCTTCCATGTCAGAATAATATTGTGCCATCTCTGATTTTCTACTATAATTAAATAATAATATGCAAAATAATCTCTTAATCAGTCTAAGGTTTAATGATGCATGATTAAGGGAGTTGCATTGAGTGTTTGTGCAGGGACAATATGGATGGATCTGAGTGTTTGTATTGCTCTGCCCCTGACAGGAATCATTGGACAATGCATTATCACACATTGCCTGTTCCTGTTTGCTCTGTGTGTTACAGTGACTCTGCAGGGAGTTGAAACACAGGTTTAACTTTTCTATTGGCTTTTTTCTTTGTCTCGTAAATCCTTTTATCTCCAGGGTTTGAGGTGCACACATTCAAGGTGCTGCATTTCTTTCCACCTTCGAGCTGCAGGTGCTGTCTGCAAGCCGACCTTTTATTAGGGCCAAGCTGAGAGCCAGACTGACACAATTTGGCAAAACTGAGAAATTTTGCTGCTTTTTTCCCTCTCTTTGGCCATGAAGATTGTTCCATAAATGGATTTTGGGGTTGATGTGGGTTTTTAGACAGGCTGTTTGGGGAGAACGCTGTAGTTCCTTCAGGCTGTTTTGCCCCCATCTGCATGTATTCAGACTTTAAAAATTCCACCTTTGACTTCTTTCTGAACCTGCTGTCCAAGAATCCACATATTCCTTCCTGAACTAATTTCTCCTCTGTCCTCACTGTTCCCTGTGTCAGCAAATTAGTCTGACCTTGGAATTCTCCCACTTTCCCAATTCTTGGATTTCTTTCCACCATGGGTGGGAGTCCTCACTGTCCTGTGAGGGTGGGTGAGGTGGTTTTTACTGCTGATTTCTTTTCATTTGGAAATGAAAACAACCAACTTTTTATTCTTGCTAATACAAGGAAATCAGTGGCCAGGCATCCTTTAGGTTGCTTCCCTTTTTTGGGGTCTGCTCTTCCTTGAGTGTTTGGGGGTTACACACAGAGTATTTTTTCTGGTGGGTTTTGCTTCTGGGTTTTTTTCCTTCATGTTTTCCTCATTTTCTATATTTGCCTCCTGTTCCTACCTTGACATCAGTTATTTATGTGTTGGATTTAGTTGGTTGCTCCCTCTTGCTGCAGCATGAAGTGGAATCATGTTGGAATGGCTGCTCAGAGAGGCTTTGTCAGTAAGAGCCCTTGCTGCTGAAGGCCAAATGCTGCCTCTCATGCCCATTTTTGAGACCAGTTCTGTGAAATGCCCGATTTTCCTGTGGAGTGGTGGGCACATGGAAGGTGAACAAGCCTCTGTGTTTGAGGAGAGCAGGGGAATTCTGTTCAGGGTGTGCAGCTTGAAATGGTTTCAAGGAAATGGCTTTGTGCTGCAAGTGGAATTTATGCTCTCGTAAATTAAAACCTTGCAAGAGTTTGAGGGAATTTACATGAATTTCCCTGAAAGTAGAAGGTATTCATGTTGATTCCTTTGCACATTACTGAAGTAGTAAATCTCTAATAAAAGGGTTTATGGGAGGAAATGCAGATATTTTATTATAGTCTATATATATGTATGTTCCCTGTTCTGTCATCTTTTGAAATTTGTCTTGCAGAACAACAACTGCATAAATTACTTGAACAGAAACTTGTACATTTGCCTGGGCATGGGGGGGATAAAGTGAACAGAATTGCATATTCCACAACATTTTTTAGTTAATTGAGTGTGTGCTTATAATTAGTTAATTATGGGAAGCACAGCTTTAGGCTGCAGCCTCCTTGCTTGGATGGAGTTCTCCCTGCTTTCAAAGCCAGCGTGTTCCTGATCTGGGCCTTTCTGAACTTCGTTTTATACAAGTGAAAACACTTTCCATCCGTCTTAATCACAAAGTTCAACAGTTATTTGTCATTTCTTGCTGAATTTCTTGGCACTTTTGAATTCCAGGCAAAAATAAACTTTTACTCTTGCTACGTGGTCGTGCATTTAAATATTTTCAAATTGCTGCAAGCAGTTAAACTCTGTTATGTTGCCTATTTTCTTACCAGATGCTATTCCATGAACAGAATGACCATTTGCATCCTCCTCATTTATTTTTCACTTCCTGCATTTTCCTCCTGTGCTGTTTGTCCCCCTCTGCAACTCCACCACAGCCCATGAAAATATTACAGTAATTCAAGTTCTTCAGGTCAAGCAAAAATGGGTGCTTTGATCATAATATCTAATGATTAAACTAATGCAAGCAGAACCTTAAAGCTTTGATAATTTGTGTTATTCAGAGTGTTTTAGTGGTTGATTTCAAGGTTAACTCTCCAATGTGAATTTAAAAGCTACAAGGATTCTGTGGTCAATATATATTCCCACCCCAGATGAATTAAGCTTTAAAAACTTCCACTATAATTCTAGGATTACATGATTAGTAGTTCCTTTGGTACCCAGTATAAAATGGATAAAATTGAAAATAAAATCAAGATAATGGCTGCTCTAAAGCCAGCTCTGTTGGTGCCATATATATTTGAACACGCTGGTGAACTCAGTGTTACAGCTGATGGGAGTCCTCGCTTGGAAAGAATAGAAAATTGATTTTCCTCTAGGAACAGCTCCCTTATTTACCAGATTTTTATTTCCTATGTGCTGTTTTTCAGGCCATCATGACTCAATTTCCTTCTGCTCTTTAATCTCATGTAGCCACAGCATTTTTTTTTTTCAATAGGAAGAAAATAAAAAAATTAACAGTTCTTTAGAAAATACTTAGTGGAACTTTTGGGCAAGCTGCTTTCCAGCAAACGATAATAAAAATTCCTTAAAAAAAAAAAGGGAGTAATTTGATTTTCTTGGCTGCACCGGGCCAAAGGGGTCTTGGGATTCTCTGCTTTTCCCTAAGGGCACTGAGGTTTGAGCTGTGCAAGAGGAGCCAAAGAATGGGAGGGGAGAGAGCCTTGGGTTGCAAAGGAGCTTTGGTTGGAGAGCAAGAGCTTGGCCAGTTGTTCCTTGGGATCAAAACCAGCCTGACAAATGGGCCTCATGGCTTCTGATCCATTTCAATATTTCAATATTTCAATATTTCCGGTTCAGGGTGTTCTAATTCCCCAGCTGGAGCAGGGATGTCTCTGCTGAGGCTCCGTCACTTTTATCCAGCTCTGGGGTTCCTGTGTCAGGTGGGGCTGCTTCACCCCACGGTGCTGCTGCCATTTCTTGCTCACGGGATGCATCAATCAGGGGCTGTTTAATCCAAATTGGCAGCACAGAGCTTTTCATTAGAATGGCTTCTCACACAGCAAGCAGGAGTTCTTTACAGTCCCCTCTTTTTTTTTTTTTTTTTTTTTAATTAGTGTGCTGTACTCTGAGTCCTTTCCTTCCTTTTGATTATCAGCAGCTTTTATTATTCAGACCTACCTTTGCTATTAACACAGCTCTGGGCTCCAGAAATCAGAGTAACTTCAATATAAGAAAAAATATTTAATTTTTTTCCCTCATGTCTATTCTTTAAATCATTCCTGTAACAGAAATGTGCCTTAATAAGATCATTCATTTAACCAAGTACATGCATTAAGGAGATGAAATCTCTTTGAACTCTAGTTAGTTTTTAATCTTTGAATTAGATTTAAAAGAATATTAGAAATAATAATATTAGAAATATTGGAAATTTTACCATAAATTTAAATAGAAATGGAATAATTTGAACTAATGGTAGAATTAAGTGGTGACATTTCAATGTTAAATATGATGATCTGGTATATTACAGTAGATATTTTCCATTTATTTTTACGAAGGGAAGGATTTTTTTACGAGCTGTAATTCAGAAAAATATGAATCTATTTAATGGAACCATTCTCTTTCAGATTATTTATGCTGCCATTGTTTTTTCCTCTCCTGATACCCTTTCTGGAGTCACTTTATAAACTCTTTTTTGCCCTTAGTTTCAGCCCAGACTCTGAAGAGCAACCTGGATTCCATGAACCAGCAGATCCAGCGCCTGGAGAAGGACATTGAGAACTTCCCCAAGAGCCAGGACGAGCACGACAAGTTTGTGGAGAAGATGAGCATATCCTTTGGCACTGGTGATCTGAGCAGTCCCATCCTCTGCTGGGGGATTTGCAGCGCTCCAAAATAGGTTTAAAGTCTCTTTTCGTGCATTTCTTCCAGAAAAGCATCGGTGGGTGTGGCGAATGTAAGCAAGAAGAGGACTGAAAGCATCAAAAATCAGATTTTCCAGGGGTGCCCAGACAGCTTTCCTGAAGGAAGTGGTTACACTGAGCAGCCATAAACTCAGTATGGGGATGTTTTTTTCTGTCTGAAAAGAGTTATTTATTCAATTTTAGAAAAACACCAGCAGTAAAGTTGGTGTATTTATTATTTTAGCTCCAGATGTGGTGTTTTCTGAAGGGCAGAGTATTAATTTTGTTAATAGTTTTAAGTTACATTTTTAACATTTAGAGGAATATTTACATTTGTTTTCACGCTGAAGTGTTATGTCCCTTAATTTCTGTAGAGAATAGAGACTATGGATTCTTTAAGTTAAATCTGGAGGGGACTCTAATATAATGTCTGTCTAGCTTGTTTTTGTATATCCACCTTTGATTTTGTTCAAAACTTTAAAGTAACAAGTCTGCTGAAGGTACAAGAAGCTCACAAAAATGCAGGAAAGACTGAGAAAAAAACCCTTAAAAAAATCCCAGGTTTTTATTGTGCTCAAATCCCAGCTCTGTGTGGAAATGTTGGGAGCATTTGGGGTGTGGTGCCAAGTCCAGGGCATTTTGTGCGTTTCCAGAAGCTCAGATATTCCTGTGAGGTCTCTCCTTTCTTGCTGCAGCAGAACTGGTGGGTTTGGGGTTCTCAGAGGAGAGGAAAAGGAGAACATTGATGTTTAGATCCATTCACAGCTGCCCAGCACGTTTGGTAGGTGGCTGCAATGAAGATTTCTCCCCTCTTTGCACAAGTTTTTTGCAGGATTTACCATCTGAATGGAGTCAGTGACAGAAATTTCACAAGCAGGTATTTAACATCTCCTCTGGATGGATTTATTTTAAGTTTCTGACAAGGCTGCTGGAAAGCAGCTTAAGGGAGACAACTCCTGACTAAGTGGAAAATTGTTTCTGATTCCTTCCATCTTCCCCTGCCCCTTGTCCTGTGTGCCAGGTTCAGAGACTCGCTGCTGGTCATCACTTTTATCAGTTCTGCTGTTAAACAAAGCTCATTATTATTTCCTGAGCTTCACTCACATCAGAAAATCTTTCAATATTGCCCTGTAATTGTTCTGTGCCTTGTCACCCCATCAGAGGCTGAATTCTGTCACCTTGGCCCCACTTTGGTTCTTAAACCAAACCAATTTATGAAATGCACCTTTACCACTGTTTTTTTTCCTGTTAAATTTGACAGCTCTGCTTTCCAGGTTACAGAAATGATTGCTCAGTTGTATTTTTGTTTTGCTGCCTGTGTGTTTACTTAGAGCCATGATTAGCATCACTCAGATGGTTTGGTGAGGAAAAAGAGCCAAGAAGATAATATTGAACATTGTTCTCTCTGCAGCTTCTCACCTCAATTTCTCAGAGAAGGAAAATTTGTCTTGTCTTTACATTTTTGCATTGTCTGACTTTGCAGAAATGTAAAAAAAAAAAACCAAAACCAAAACTAATGTTTCATTGTGTTGGCAGAAATGGGAGGAGCTTCTGGAATGTTTAAAAGTGAATTATCCCAGGGTCCTGGGCAGCCTGGCTGGTTGGTTACAGGTGGATTTCTCCAGGTTGGTTCCTCCCTGTTTTATCAGCACTGGGAGCAGAGATAAGGCTGGAGCCAGGGGCTGCCTCCCCCCGGGCATTTGTGTGTTTCCATAATGAACAGATGACCTGATAAGTTCTGTGCTTTTATTTCAAAAGTCATCTCCCCTTGGATCAAGGGATCCACTTTGTTTCGGCTTATCTCTGAATATGATTAAGGCTTTCCACACTCCCATGTTTTTTATTAGATTGAAGAATCATTTTGGACGGTGTAAAAGTGACACCCCAGTCTGCAGTGAGTGTTTCTTTGATTTCCTCAGCTGCCTGGAGATGTGTTGGTGATGGCACATCCTGAGATGGCAAAGTTACAGAATTTCAGGCTGAACATCTCTCTGAGTGTTTGGGGAAATCTGAAATGTCTCAGTGGAGTTTTGGGATGCAGCAATTAGAATATTCAAGGCAGAGTTTCTCATTCCTGTCATAAACAAAGTGATTTACCAGGAGTTGTGCATGAGACTTTCTTCAGAGGATGTGAGAGGGATAGATCCTGCTTGGAGATTCATGTAGGAGGCCAGTGACAAGAAAAATACCATTCACAATATGAATTTGTAATAATTAAATTAATAGTCAAAATACAGAATCAAATTCTGTCAAACAATTTAGGTCATTTCAGTTTTTCTAACTTATTTTAACAAATAAGCATTTGGTGCTGTGAGTGACAAGAAGATGAATAGAAATTCTACCTGCATTTTCATTTTCGATTTTTTTCTTGCTGGGTTTCTAAGCAAGATAATTTTTATCTTCACTTAATCAGATTTTCATTTAGCACATGCAGTTATTAATCTCAATGCAGTGTGGCTGAAGAAAATAAAGGGATTCAAATAGTCCTTCTGCGAATTTCTTGCTATATTAAATAACTTAGGTGTGATTCCTGAAACAACTTTTCCACGATCTGATCCGTGACTGGAATTGTGCTTTACCTGAAGATCCATTTGTAAATAATTCAGCTTTAAATGGGAGAGGTTCCTTTTATAATTAGCCCTGCTGCACGCAGCACTGGGGAGTCTGATTCCACAGTTTAGAAAAGTAATTACAGACTGTGCCAAGCCTGCCTTTCACTCCTGGTTTTATTTCAGTGTTTGTGCCTCTGAGTGAAGATTTTTCCAAAGTGCAGAACTCTGAATTTTGTATTTGTGTGCTGTGTGTGCAGAGATTTCAGTGATGTTAAAACACGGGCGTCTGGTGGGGGATTGAGAAAAGTATTCACATTCATGGAGTTCAAATGGAAATGTTATTAACTAAGATTAAAAACAACTGAATTGAAAAGCAATTTCAGAGGGAGCAAATGGAAAGTTGCACTGAGTTAACATTAATATTGATTTAGAACTATAAATACATGAATAATAAATATCACTTCTTTCTCATTTCCAACAAACTAAACACAAACTAAAGTTTTTTCCTCTAGAAAATAATTAATTCCTGTAGAAATATATATATTATATATAGTGCCTGCTGTAGACAGGAGCTTTGAATGTTGTTCCAAGGACACATATTTGGTCACTGGGTTCATGGTTTTTGTTATCCTGCTCCCTGCACAGGAATAACTTTGGCTCTGTGTGTTTTATAAAATACCTGGCATGAATTTATTCCTTTTATCCCTCCAGTGTGTCCTGCATGAGCCTTAAGTGGAGACCTTGTGTGGCTTTTCTGCTTTCCAGCTGATCATTTACCCCCATCAGGGACATTAATGTGCCTCAAGTTATTGAGATCTTTTGCCTCCCAGAGCAATCAGTGCTGCCACGTGGCTTTTCTGACTGATTGCATACATGTGAGGAATTCAAAGCTTTTTTTTTTTTTTTTTAAAGAGTTGCGAAATTAAGGGAATGATGAATGAAAGAGCAAAAATTACTGCAGATAAAAAAAATTCAAAGCGCTGTGCATTCATCTTATCACTAAATGGAACAGCAGCAATTTGTGAACTAATTTTAATTTCCAGTAAGGAACACCATTCATTAGGAGAGAATCCTTTATACGGAATAAAAGAGCTGCCTTGCTGACAGGCGTGGATCCTCTCCTGATGTGCATTTCTGCTCCCAGAGCTGTCTGACAGCCACTGCAGCCCCACAATGAAACCCGAGGGCTTCGTTTCCCCTCTGGGTGCTCTTCAGTTGTGCAGAAATGATCTGGGGACAAGTCTGGGGCCTTTGATGCACTGGGGATGTTCACATTAAAATCAGCTGATAATTCTCCTGTGGGAGCTGTTGTTGTTTGCGTTTAAGTATGAGGAATTATTTCTTAAAAAATAAACTTGGGATTAATTTAACTTTCTATTAGCTTCATACAGAAAATAACTATTCTCTTCTAAATTAAAATACTAAGTGGAAGACAAAGGCTTTGCAATGCCTGTTGAAGGCACAGCACAGGGAAGTAATGATTTATTTACTCTTGAATCTTCACTTTTCTGAGTTTTATGTTTGAATGGAAAACGTTTTAAGCAATAATTGCAAGCCTTATAATGCTGTACATCTGCTTGGCGATTAATTTTAGCACATAAATTGTTCAAGTTTCAAGGAAGTTTTTGAAGCAGAGCCTGTATTTAAGTGCCAGGAATGCCTTTTTTTTTTGTGTTTTTTTTTTTTTTTTTTGTTTTTTTTTGTTTTTACCCTGCTGCAGACTCATATCAATTTGAATTTATTGGCAATAAGGTAATCAAATGTTCTTCTTGTGCCACCTATTCTGTATGGTTTTATGCAAATTGGTTAACACAGCATGGTAGAAAATATCACATGTGTTGTGTATGTTAAATTTTGCATCTAGGATGCTCTTTTCTAAGGTTTTGTAGCTCTAAGACAGCAAAATGTGTGATTTGAGTATTAGATTTGAGATCCCAGTGATTTGCTTGGCTGTTTGACAGCCCCAGTCTGCGTGGCCCAGATTTGCATTATTCTGTATTGCCCCAAATGCAAGTAAAGCATCCCTAAAATGCACTTTGGAGAAGGGAATTGACAGTGTCTCATCTTCTGAGAGGTTACATTTAAAAACCTTTTATCTCCGAGCACTCGCCTGGTGTTGAAATGGGGCTGCCAAAGCAGCCCAGGCGCCCTTGATGGAGCTGCTGGGTGAGAAATGATCCAGGGCCCTCATCAGAAAATCCCCCTGCTGGAAGCACTCTGATAGCAGATAGCAAGAATTAGTTTGTACAAATAATCTGCTTTTCCTTTTCCAAACTAGAGGCTTTTTTGGGAAATTCAGGGCATTGGTGAATAAGCCGAGTTTTCCTTCTCTGGTTTTTTTTGCATTGCTAATTGTTTAAGCTCGTGGCATCTC